ACATATTAATCATTTGTTTTAGCGGCCATTCTTTAATACCAACATCAAAATATTAAATAAACGGTATTTATGGAATATTTGTGATAAATTTAGTTTTTAAAAACTAATTTTTTGACTTTTTACGCATCAAAATAATTTTAAATATTCAAAAATGTGAGATAATTCCTTATATAAATTTTCATCCCTAATTTTACCCCCCAAAAGTTAATTTTTTGGAACAAAAAGTATTCAATATCCTTCTCCAAGCTTTAGTCTAGCTCTAAACAAAAATTCATCAAAATTCGTTGAGTGATGTCGACGTGAAGCGGCAACAAACATACAAAAACAACTTTTTCACTCATAATATTAACATTTAAGAATAGATTTGACATAAAATTCACCATGAAAATCCAATTTCACGCATTTAATATACAATTTAATATTATTAAATATTTAAAGAAGTTGTAATGAAACACGCCTAACGAAAGTATGACATAAAAGAAGGAGAATAATCAAAAAAACAGTATAAAACTTTAACACCAGCAGGGCGTGTGTTGCCGCTATCACGAGCACATTTTCTATGTGAAGATATTTCGCTTGTCTGGCGAACACTAGACCGGAAAATATTACCGCCGTGAGCGCATGTAAACTCCCTCCGCATCTTAGCATTATTGTCGTGCTGTAAGTACCTACACAACAATCCGACGCGGCACGAAATAATTGTGTGTATATATTGGAAAAGTTTCAGCCTGCGTATTTCATGTCGAGCACAATATTATTAATTCCGCGCGAGTATTCTCGGAAAATTTACACAAAGCGAGAAAAACCCCGGGTAAACATTGTTAGCAAAATTAAATTTTTTTTTGCAAATTCAAAGAGTTCTTTTTCGTATCAAAATTAAACGAAATAAATTGCCAGTTAGGAAAGCGCGCGCCTCATTACACAGTTAGAGTAAAATATATAAATAGTAATTTAACCTCGCAAGAATTGAAATTTAATGAATTTCCAACTTTTGTTTATACTTGTTAGTCCTCGACCACCCCGCCGGCTGCTGCGCTAATTTAGTTAATCTCGTTTTATATTATAACTCTGTTTTATTATAATAAGTTTTTTCCTTTTCCGCGCAAGCACTCGGATCCATTTTCTCCTTTGTGCTTAATTCAGCGCTGCTCGGCCATGGGGAGAGTTATTCAGAATTAAAACGCGCTTTCACTTTCCACTTCTAATGCGGGCTGAAAAGCCTAAAGGGCATCAAAGTCCTTTCTGCGCGGCTGTCAGTCTTCGGGCGTGTGACACGGTGTCACATTTTACCTTTTTCGCAGCGAGCGAGCAACTTTTAATGTCGCTGCTTTTATGATATCGTTCGCTCGGAGAGTACTAAAGCGGTTCCTTTTACAAATGGACAATTTGTGTACTCGCCACGGTCGTAAGTTTTAAACCTAAAAACCTCCAAGTATTCAAGTTATCTTAAGATTCACCACTTTGAAAAAATGCATTCAGATTACATCGTAAAAATTATCGAGTTTTCTTTTTTGACGCGAAATAATTTACTGACTGGAGTGGATTTACAGCCGGAAATAAAGCTCTAGTGATTTTTATAACAATTTTGTACCAGTGTTACGTAACACTAGGCGATAATAAAAAGCTGCGGATTTGAGCAACGGAAAATAACACGTTTCACACCCTGTCGTATAACGCCAGGCCATTGAAACGGGAAGCGATAAAAGCTTTTGATTTATTAATGTGCAATACGCACCCACGGTGAGCACTAAGAAAGTAGCTAACCGCCAAGAAGAGTATTGAGAATGCTGCCATGTGGAAAAACTGCTTTTTCAAAGCATTAAAAAAAGACTTCATTGTAATACTTTATACTTTGTATCAAAGGATGTTGAACTATAAGTGAACTAAAAGTTTTATAAACATCACAATATCAGCAAATTTGAAAATTAAAAATTAAAAACAACGTTTGTGTACAAAGTTTAAGCTGAAAATAATAGAAAACACTCGTGTGTTTGAAGCAGCGAGAGAAGAGAAACTTAAGAGTGTCTCAACCGCAAGTTTCGCTCTGTGTGCCGTGCACAAGTATAGTTTGTTGTCGGCATCAAGGGATTTATACGCCTCGTTGTCTCGACAGAAACGCCGACGAATGTTTTCCTAATAACGCTCATTATTCAAGTTGTTCCCACTGAGCGTAGACTAAACGTCCAAAACACAGCGTACAGAATTTCCTCAAAGGTCTTCAGCATTCTCTATGTACTACATTGTGCAATTGTAGTGATAAAGATGAGGATAAAGATAGACAAAAACCGAAGAAAATTTATGAGCTCAAAGAGCAGCAAGAATTGTGCATGAATAATGCCGGGATGAAATCTTTTCCTTTATTTCACTTAGCATCAACATCCATTAAAGAGAATACGCGCTTGGAAAATATGTAGACTTTGTAGACCCCTAGCGAGCTGCCAGTCATTCGTCATATTAATTCTAATTCCTGCCATTAACTTGAATTATATCTCGCGGCGCGCCGACCACGATGATCAATCATGCCAATCACGCACGATGCGGGAATAAATGATCAATCAATAATAAAAGCTCCAAACTGCCAGAAATATAAGATCTGCGAAGGGAGTTCGTTGTGGCGTTTCGGAATGTGGAAGATTTTCGTGCTTTTGCTTTCTTCTGGCTTTTCTTTCTAGGAAATCAAGAGGAGCGGGTATTTTTCCGCTTGTCATTGATCGACCTTACGACTGATTTACGATATACACGGTAATCTGTAATAGATGCCCGCATTACACACCCCTGCAATTCGGGGTGAGCGAAATGACGGTACTAAAACGCACCTACGCAAGCAAAAAAAAAACGAAATAAAACCAGAGCTCTGCGAGTCGAGGGAAAAAAAAACACAACATTTTAGCCTTTGTGTGGCACGGTGTCAATGCACCAGTGGAGTAGTGGTGGATTTGGGGTGACTGCGTCGGCGTTAAAACCGCAATAAATCACTTTGCGATCATTTGTTGCCATTATAATTGCGATAATGCGTTATTGATTAGTCTCGTAATTTTTCCAACAATAATTTGTCATTCATTGGCGGCGTATCAGAACACAATAAACCTATTGAAGCTAATGTTTTTGTTAAGTGATTTTCGTCGTTGCTGGCTTGAATATTACAATGTTAAAATGAGTAATGCGCTGAATGCAAACGTAGTTCTACCTCACCCTATAAATTTTATCGCTGGCTCAACTCCCTTTGAGCTTTGAGGCTTTCGGTTTCGATAAACGCACAGCGGTGGCAATGGCGGGCCACATATCCGTAGGGAAAGTTCGCACCTTTCTCTCGAATTGCTTTACGAGATGCGTGCGCTACGCAGTGTGAAAGTTGGAAAACTTGAGGGAGAACGCGCCGAAATTTCCCACACTGCCGAGGCACGTCCTCGCATACTTTATACCCAAAGTGCCATTATCAAATTTATAAATATTCAATTTGCGCGCGTGTCGCCTGCGCCATATGAGCGAACGCCGCTCGTGATTTATCGCGTTCGATGTTGATGATACTTCGAGGGATCCAATTCGCGCGTGGATAGTGAAGAAGCGCGTGCGAACGAGACCCAAGATCGGGAGACTGGTTTGATAAGCGATTCGATATTTCAAATAAGATTTACGCAAAGAGGATTATCTTCTCCACGTCGCGGATGGTGGAGGCGCCGGGCAAAAAGTGTTGAAAACGGGGAATATCGATGCCGAAAACTTTTTGATCGATTTATATTACAAAACTATAGAAAAATGTGATTTAAATGGATTTTAATTTAACGATAATCACTCATTTAAAATGATTTCAACCGCAATTACCATCATTAAATAATTATCTTTAAAGACAAAAAATTTCGTTGAAAATTTGAAATTTGGCGATTATTGCACATTGTCCTGCATAGCGCAAACTGTTGCAAGTTTAAATCGACGTTAGAAAATGGCGCACGACGCAATGACCACCAGTGCGGCCATGAATTGGGACAATGCTCCGCCAATGCCACAGCGATAGCCCCTCCAACTCTCCCTCAATACCGTTCATTGATATTCAAAGCAGTTCAGCCGTGCAGGAAAGTACCGTGCGCGCCTGTGGAAGCTTACGCCGGAAGCGAATAACTCCACGCGCACCGTCCGCCGCACTTCATACCGCCGACAATGTACAACTTCCAGAAATCGCGTTCAGTAACGCCTGTGTCCATGCAGATACCCACGCTATAACGGAGAACATTTATATCATTTACTACATACAGCGTTCAAAATTAAAATAAAAATAATTTAAAGAAAAACTCAAAAATGAGTTTAACTTGCTTAAAATTAAGCTGGTTTCTAGAAATTTGTATTTTCTTACGTTACACATGAAGATGAACATGTTAAATGGGGAGAGTAGCCATATTTGGACCATTTTATATTTTTGATTTATAGAGCCAGCCATATAAACTGTCAATAAAAATTAAGTAGCGGAAAAGTAATCTGTTCATTTTGTATGAATATTCTAGGTAGTAAATGACAGCGCAAAGATTCAATTGCAATTTAACATCTTGTCGTAGAAGTGAAATGATTGAAGTCTGCGGCTTCGCCGATCCGGTTGATCAGTGCAAACGCAAGGAACACGCGTTCCGTGTAATTACGTACGGGATGCGGTGTGATCTATTGATCTCGAGCGTCTTTGACTGCAACTCACGCTTTTAGTCTAGACAACGCCAAGTTGAGCATTGAATGGCGAATATTCCGCGACGTTGCACACTCAGCAAGTTTGTGTTCATGCTCAATCATGTCCCTTGACAAATTTTGCCCCAATAAGCACATAATATAATAAAACCATAGAAAATTAATGATTGTTTTGAATGAGTAAACATCGTATAAGTTACCTCATCATATAACCAATCAATAAAGATTTTAATTTTTAGTTGTTTTTTTAGTTTTTAGTTTGTTAGTAATTAACAAAGAAAATGATTGGTTAGTTTTTTTAGATGTTTAGGATGAATGATGAGATGACTTACGCATACCCCTATTCTTGGCACCTCTTTCGCCCCGAATGAGGATCTCGTGGTCGTCCTCCTCCCAGATTTCTCCATCGGCGAACGCCACGCTCACCAGGAAGACGATCGTGAACGCGAAGAAAACTAACCACTTCATGGCGACGTCTGTTGATTTATTCGCTGTGCAACTGCAACAAAATTCATCACTCAATTAAAATCATTCTTCACTACAGTTTTATAAAAGTTAATTTCAGGATGTTTATGAGTTTTGGTGGTTTTAACCGCTTTTTATGTCGCTGCGGAATCCGTCGGGAACTGCACAGAAAAAAGAACAAACCAGGCAAGAATTTCTAATTTCGTCGCTGCACCGGAGCAATTAAAAGGCGCGTCTCGTAAAGAATCCTTGCTGGCACGACCTACATAAGGATAGTGGACTCGCTCACCGCAATCGCTATAAAAGTTTCATTAAAGTCTGGTTAAATGAGTTACAATTTTTCGAATTCTTCGTTTTCAATCAACCCGCCGAACGAAACAGAATATTAAGGTGCTTGTTAAGTTGCCTAATAAACGGACGCTGCGGAATTTTAATTTATTTAATAGAACACATCCTGGACATATTTAAACTTCCAACTTTTCGAATGAATTAAAAATGCCAGCAAACCAGCAGCACGACGACGCGCGGCGGGTTCTGTGGCAGACACAACTTTGTACTTTGCTTGTTTGCAACTCCTATCTCTCGCCATCGCTCGCACATGCATGACAACGGCGCGCAGGATTACAATGGCAATAATCCCCATCCCCATTCATCCCTATTCTATCCTCGCCAGGCATGTACGCACATTCAAAATTAGATTTTTTGTTGGGTAGCTTGTTTACGCCGAGAAATATTTCATTATTAAATTATATTCGGGAACTTTTCGTTTTATATTTTAAAATTTTCACGTTACATAATAATTTTTAAAAAATTAAACAATGATTACTGGCTAATAATAGCATTTTAATGTTTTTTCATATTTTGTGATATAATTTTACGACGGTGCTGTGAAAAGTTTCTTGTATAATTATATTTCCAGGCGAGTAACCTCGAATGGCGCTAGATTTAATAAATAATTATCAAGCCGTCTCGAATGCAATGAAATGGTGGCCGTGCGGGTGCGATGCAGCAAGTTGAAAGCGACGCGCACGCAAAGTTGTGCGAATCCGTTCGCCGAGTTTCCACTTTTCCGAGAGTTTCGCGTTTGTGTATCAAAAGTTGCTACATAAATAACAATATAAAACGTACTCGTAATACTTCGCCCGGAGTGTGCGCAAATGTTATTTACAGTGTGCGAAATGACAGCCAACACAGTTATTAAATTTAAAATAAATATTTGCGTGAATTATTGCGGACAAAAACATCGAATTACACTTTCGTTACCATCCAAAACAAAACAAAAATCATGATTCTACTCACATGTGTGTATCGTATATCTTTACGCTTCGTTTGCAATTTTGCATTTGTTTCCAAAGTGAAAGCTCCAGAAAAAGGTGCATCTGTTCCCGACGCTATTCGATTATCTCTCTCACGTGACTTTCGAGTGTTTGCGATTTAAAAACGCAATCAAGATCCTGATTATCCGCCGCTGCGGCAGGACTTCGAGTTTCCATCCGCTCCAGCGCAGATAGATATAGCTAGCGCGGGAGGAGAAAATTCCATCCGCCTGACGTGCACAATCCACGACGTTCTCAAGCGTGATGATAAGCTAATGCGATCCGAAGTCTTTCTGCGCGCACACATCCCGCGGCCCTTTCGTCCCATTGGCACGCGCATCAAAGGCGCCGAGGGAAACCGCCGAAAGTTTCGTCATTTTGATGAAAACTTGCAGGTAACATCCCGGTACAGAAAACTTGTAACATGTGATTCTTTAAAATCTAATGAGAACACAAATTTTCGCCTGAAATTCACTTTCTGAAGTACCTAAGGAAGTATCCTGACTAATCCTGGTTTTGGTTACTGCGGTGACTCTGGCGTCATGGGGCATGAAAAGTCGAAAAGTTTGCGGTAAGCTCCTGACGAATTTAAAACGTTGCGCAAACATCTGATATTTTCCGATCCGGGTTGCTGGAAGCGTCAGAAAGCGCGGTTAACGAACCTGGTCGTTTCGGCGTGTAATTAAAAAGTCGTGATTTCCCGCGGAGAAGCTCGGAAACTCGTCCGACATTATTCGCACCATAGCCAGCTGCATCAAATGGTTGACATTAATACGAAATTGTTATAAATTATTATATTCGACGCTGCGAAACTTTTACGTAAAGTAAAGTAAATTCAGGGTTTAAATCAGATAAACTACCGTCAAACAAGGTACGCGCAACGAGGTAAAATCGATCGTTATCATCATGATTAATTACCAATATCGCCGATATCGCAAATAGGAATTGGAATAACGTTCTCAAATTGCAGGCGCACACTTTGAAATTTAATTATTCTGTAAGCGGCGAGCGCGCAAACTTTATTTGTTTCGTGATGGCCTGCGAATATTATACCGGGTGTACCGATAATATTTGCTCTGCTTTGATGTAGAATTATGTTAATTTGTGTAACACCTAGTTTGATTGTTGCCTTTAATGTGAAAAGTGTAACTCATCCCAACGACACAGCATCGAGATAAAACACGTTGGGCTATCGCGCGCCCGCGTTCAGGGCGAGCTGAACGAAAATTTGCATGATTTGTGCTGCAGCGCGTATGCAAATGGCGGGCGCGCATGCAAGTTGCACAATAGATACCGTCACGCAGACGAAGGACGCACTCGGAACAAGAATGCAAATTACGCGACATTAAAATATCCGGCCCAAAAAGTGCCGCAAAGAGCAAACAAAAACAAACGAATCGAAATTGCGGTTTGCACATAGAAGCAAAGCGTGTGTGTGTGGCTTTATGCGTAATCCATTAGGTATAAATCAGCAAATCCTAGAAATCCTCCACATGCGGCGCGAGTACATAAAAAGTGTGAATAAAGAAACGCACATAAAAATGGCGTTTTTATTAATTCCCGAGCGTAGATGGCCAGTTATACAGTATAACAGCGTAACAGCGCCATCTATATGACGCTATAAAGCGATGTTTTTTACGGGCGCACTTTGCGTGTGTCTTAAATGGCGTTATTCTGCGGGCTTCTTCGTGGCGCCGGTTCGCAAGTCATAATCTTATGCAAATAGATGAATTTTTCTAATTTATGCGATGGATTTGCGCCGGCGACGGGCGCAACCGAGAAGGGCCGAGGAGACTGATGGCGGCCATTAAGCCGCACCAGTGCCAAACCGCACAGTTTAAAAGATAACAAATCAAATCAAACGTCCTCCCTTGTTTTGCGCACCACGGCGTATGAGCGCAGATAATAAAGGACATTTATAAATCGTCGTGCGCGAAGCGTGCAACGTTCGACGGGGTTCTTGAAATAAGGACGGAAATAAAGAATGTACAAGCCCCTGCTACACATACACAGAAAGCGTAAATAATAAAAGAAACAAATGCTGTTCAGTTGAGTTGAGGTGGTGTAATATAATACGCGTATACAGTTCGCGTCGGTGGAGGATCACTGAATGTCAGCCATGTTTGATGTTTACGGCTTACGATTCGCGTCTGCGCACTGGTGATACACGAATTTTCGATTACGAATGTAAATGCGATTGTATTCCACACGCGTCTTATTTTTAAAATTCGCTGAAGTCTATACGTCAATGTGAATCAGCCTCTGACAGAGTATAAAAGCTTTCATTTCCCAGAAGCGTAATGAAAATACACAAACACGAAAAATAAATAAAAACACTTAAAATACTTAAAATATTTACGCGATGATAAAAATGCGTATTACTCGTCGGGTGATAAAATGTTTTTAATTAAAATTAAATGAAGAGCGCGGCTGTGTAAAAAACAAACAAGACAAACAGGACAAAGCGACCTGTCGTCCCTGCGCAGAAATTAATAAGCATTATGTCTGCGTTAGCGTTATCTAAACGTGTCCTGTGCTTCGCCTCAACTTTCCCAACCCTGTTTTTCCCGTCTCCAACCAAAGAAAACTTGTATTTTCCGTGGAGATAAATAAGATGCTGCTTCCGATTCTTCAGTTTCTTCAGTGGAATAACCTCATCCTTTTTCTTTCTTTGGTTATTTACACCCGGCGGATTCTACTGGATCTATTAGTCGATACTGGACGCAGCAGGCGCGTGTATTGGTCGTATTAATTTAGCGAAACCTCTTTGCGTTATTTATGCCCGCTGGCTCGGGGACGGTAATTGATTATCGATTCGGTTGCGTCGGAGCTACGCAGAGAAGAGGGCCGACTGGTGGTGGGTCTCTTTGGGCTGCTTATTTCCTTCGCAACGCCTCCGATGTAAACCGAAGCCCGAATGAGAAGATAAGCTCGAATTTACGTACCGTACCTGGCGAACACCTAGAATACAACAGCCTACCACCCGTCAGGAAGGGGTTGCGACGAAGAAAATTACGGATTGTAGTAGAAAACGCGAAAACAAAACCAGCGAGATGAGCAGACTTAGTAGAATGGAATCTTTGGTCGGTTCGTTAGGTGGAACGACTTTTCGGTCGTGAGTTTGGTGCAGGTTCAGGTTTACAAAATCGCCGGCGATAACAATTTTAGATTATAATTATTATTACACCCCTGAACAAGTCGTTTTCTGCTTCGTTAAGAATTTATTCCAGGAATGAATTTTTCCCGACAATAATTTTAATTTTTACGCTTATTATCAACGTTGACAAGCCTAACTTATAACGGATACGATATACCCCGGCATGTATGCCAACGTGAGGGTGAAATTTTTAAACTGGCACGCAAGCCGCCGCCGCCAGGATGATTTATTTCGTTTCTGTGCATACTCGGCGTCCACGTAACATCTGTCAGAATCTCAGACATTGTTTCCGATAGGAAAATAAAGCAAAAACCTCGAGAAAAAATTCAATGTTCCAGCTGAGAGTGCTGAGTAACAAGTAACAACGGCCAGTGTATTATCAAAGTGAAAAGTGCGAGTGGGACGAAAACGCGCCCATCACTATGGTGGATGTCATTTTTCATCCCCGGGCGACTTTTGCTTTATTTTATTTTATGGTTCACAGCGTCGATTCGCTGTGATCACGACTGCCAAATCAACGCCTTTCAAAAATCTAAAAAAAAATCTAAAAAATAAAAACCT